CATGACTTTTTTCAATTAACTATATATATATATATATTATCAGCATTGCTTTACCATTGCAGTGGTAAGGAATGGAAGGCAAAATGAAATGATAAAAGTATACGTAATAACTGAAAATATATATTTTTCAATAATCAATAAAAATACAGTAAATGAAGAAATTATGTAAATTAAATTTAGAAATTGGCACATTCACTGTACTGAAATATTTTTGTGAAATTTGAAAATCAGTTCATTGACGAGAGTTTCTGACATATTTAAGTTTAAATATAAGCCATGATAATCAATCTTATCGAAATATTTAGAAATGAATAATTCTGATAAATTCTGAAATGTCGACACATTGTACCAGTCAAGTCGATCAGAAAATTTTTCCATTAAACTTTCAGACAACAACTGGTACTCGCAGATAATTTTCCAGTTCAGTTCATCAGCATATTTATGAATGAAGTCTTCAGATAAAGTTAAATACCTGCTGATGTGTTCCCAAAATAATTCATTTGTCGTGTTGAGAAACTCTCCATGTATTAACTTTTTCAATAGTTCATCCGAAATGATTTGCGACTCCAGAATCAACTTCCAATTAAATTTATACCTAAATTTCCAAATGAGATCTTCCGAGGCGTCAAGTCCTGAGGAAATCTCGTCCCAGTCGAGATAATCTTCATAATCCGAAATGAAATCTTCAGGTAAACTTGTTTTTCGGGAAATATATTCCCAGTCTAAATTATCCCGTGTTATGAATTTCTTTGAGTAACATCTGAATTCTCTGCATGTTTCAAAACACGATATTATTGTTTCGGACAAAATGACAATTTCAGTCCGATATCGTCCATTTGATTTCGTAAGATGAGTGAATATGTTTTCTATAACGCCAAATGCTCCCATGTCCATCATTTGCTGTAAGTCAACCATATTTATGATCTGAAAAAGATGTAGTGCTTGTAGTGATCGTTCTCGGAAATGACTGGTTTATTATATCAAGTAACTGAAGACTCCTTCCTAAAAGTTTATCAAAATTGAAAGCCATCAAAATACCTAATATTCCAATTCGATAGTGGTTAGGTGTTTTTGTTTAATGAAATGACTAAAAACACTTTTGTCTAATTACCACAAATCAATTTTATTTATACGACCTGTTTCGGGTTTAACCCGAATCAAGTATAAAACTGAAATGAAAAATTTTAAAAACTCGGTTATATCGGGAGTTTTTAGGTAAGATAGGACAAGTAGTTAAACGAATCAGGGTCCCAACTTCAAAATTCAATAATGAAAATTGTAGGGGTTGCTGAACTTATGAATATTGAAAAGTGGATATCTACATGAATGGTTTTCAATTGATTTGTTAATTTCCATGGCTTCCAATGAATTCATTTTTTCCCTTGATTACATATGTGTAGGATTTTGAAGTTATCTTATGTTTTGTTTTGATTCTTGAAAATGTTCATACGTTGTAGATTTTTTGTCCAAACAGAAGTGTTCACGGAGACTTACCGGTTTGACCTGTATATACTGCAGAACATTCGCCACACTCTTTTCTGTATATATAGTCTAGTTCACATGTAATCGATTTAGCTCTTTTTGGTGACATTTTTCAGCCCTGCCCAAAAATTACGACCAAGGTGTCATTCGATTCGTATTTTTGCCTAGAAAGTTTAAGGAAAGGTCCGAAAACGCGCCGATAACAATTACAGAAGTTATAAACGATTAAGTGAAAAAAAATGGAGCTTTAGTTTTTTTTTAATATCTCGGAAAATTTTCAAAATTTCGGATATTTGAAAAAAGATTTAAAAAGATCACTGAATTTGCGTAAAAAA